CTGTTTCAAATGCTGGATATGCGGATCACGTCTGTCGCTGAAAACATATCACAACAACAGAAACGACACCCAGGATCTTGAGGTAATTTCCATTACCTGCTATAGCGAGCATTTATGTTGAAATCAAAGTCAAATCTCTCCCACAGTTCATTTTCTGTGAGAGGCAGAGGCACTCGGAAATAATTCAAGCGGTAGCAAGTTCCAGCAACGAACATTTGCTGAAAAACCATCAGAGTTGTTATTTTTTGGTCACCCATCAATGAATTCTAAAATTTTAGACACACAAGCACAAACAATGTACAAAAATTTTAGACATATAAATAAGACATATTAATTTGTGTTTTTGCATGGTGAGGATTCCATGTTAGTGATATTATAATGGGATCTTATACGCGGGTAGCAGCTATACCAGGCCTTTCGTTCCTAAAGTATAGTTAGCACACACCGTCTGTTTGGGTGCATATGCGCTGCTTTTTTTGAGTCCCCCGAGTGGTTGTTTACTTTTTCGCCGGTACCACTTACTAACGCGCGATATTCACCCGGTTTTGTTAAGGTGAGCAACATGCCCTGTTCACAGAATATTTTGCATAAATGCAACTGCAGCATAAGGATGGAAAAACCGTTGTCTATTTACCCCAGACGTGAAATTTTTCAGAAATTCACATTACTCTGAGTTTTCCCTCCAGATGTGTTCCTTGTTAATGAGTGCCTTAGTTTTTGGCGTCATATAACTATTTCATCAATTTTTGAGGTCTACTGCGCCGGGCACGTACCAACTCCTGGACCACACGATCCGATTCCACATCGATCCAATTTGTTATACAGTCCGAAAACAAAAGGCGAATATCCATACAATTTGATGAGGCCTAGCGGGCCATGAAGAACTCCCGAAAATATTGACTCGAACCCAAACCCACTGTTTATCGAACATGCAGATTTCTGTTAAAAAACAAAATAATCCAGAAGCTTTGGTAAAAAAAGCTAAGCCGCACCTTTTTAAGACTAAGTTTTTGCTTCACTAAGCAGTTGTATATGTGGTACCTAGATCAGGCGTAATTCACAGTCTAGTTTTCCCACTATACAGCTGGTAGCTTCTCCAATTCCTTAACCAATATTTCATCGCCTGCTTACGTTGTTGTCATCTCTAGCCTAACAATGCGAGATAAGGCATCTTATTAACGACCAGCTGCCATTGCACGAACTTTGATAGCACGTTACTTGTAATCTGATGTTTTGGTGTTTCTGACAATATTTCATTCTCAACCCAAACTGGGATATCCAACGCATAATGTGTTTTTTCGTAATGTATACGTTTGTCTTTTTTACTGATTAAATGCATTTCGAAATGACTTGGTATACCTGGAATCCTGCAACAGATCTTTTATGTTTATAGTTTGGATTTTTAGTTAGAGGCAACAGATGGACAAAACGGATTACTAGATGGCATCTCTGCAGTATTAACAAAACAAAGAGAAAGCAGCCCTACCTGAACAACTGTATGGAATTAAGTGAATGAGAAAAAAACACCCAGGATAAATTCTGTAAATTTACGATCTGGATCGCCATCTGTGCAACTGGCAACTTTTCCAACGACTGCTGATTATGCGTTTTTGCGTATATGCAAATGCGAAAACGCATACTGTGACGACCCCGGTGTGCGTATGTGTGTGTGTAGTGTGTGTGTGTGTGCGTCTGTCCGGGTATTTCAACTCGGCACCCAAGCAAGCTCCGGCGCCAAAAATTTGCGAGTGGGTTCCCCGGCCAAGTGCCGCCCAGGACCGTGGTACCAATCCTCATGCACGTCTTGGCCCCACGCACGAGCCCCTCAAAGTTTTGGCGGGAAAATCGCTAACTTGGGAAGGCTGAAATTTTGGGATTATGTTTCGCGTCCATATAGAACTCAAAGATTTTAAATTCAATCCCCCGTTATGCGTGGTTATCACGTACGGCCCCGTGAGGTTCCTGGCGCGAAAATTGCTAGCTCGGGAACCAAGAAAGCTGGGGGATTGAAACTTTCAGCAAATGTTCCCAGTTCATCTACTACTTAAATTTATCAAATCCAGCCCCCAGTCATGCGTGGTTGCCACGTACGGCCCCGCGAAATTTTCTGCCTGGAATTTGGGTAACTCGGGAACTGGGAAAGCTGGGAAACTGGGATTTCAAGGGAATGTTCCCTGTCTAAGTGTAGCGTGGACAATTAACTTCTCGAAATTCGAGGACCAGTATGTCAGAGTTTCTAGCTAGCGAAATTTCGAGTGATCTTATTACAGCACAACACTGCCAAAACGCATGATCGCACGGGCCCGCCCAGTGCGCGTCGCCAATGATTTCCAACTTGTCTCCTAATCTGAGAATCAAATGAAGGGCTGATTTTTCACCCTACTTCAGCTCCCTCGTTTCCATTTGAAAAGTGTTAATTTCAATGTCATTTGGATTTACTGACATTACCTCTACTTACCAAACTGAAATACAATTCAAGATCCAGAAATCTTCACTTTACACAAAAGGAAATGACTGGCCAACGCAAGGGCTGCCCGTGTGAAGATGCGTTTTTTGCATAGCTCCCCGCAGATTTTTGTCGCTGACGGCAATGGTTTTTCCGGCAGATGCTTCTAGCTAAAAGAATTTCAAGCTGGTCACCAGAACTCTCAGGAAACATCCCCTCAAAATTCCAGTCTTCTAGCTTCTGACGTTCTCAAGTTAGCAACTTACCCAGAAGAAATTTTCACGGCCCCGTACATAGGTACTACGCTTACCCGTGGGCAGGGTTTGAACTCGTTAATACCCACTTGGACAGGGGGCAGGCCGGGTGCATTCCAGTCTGGTGGGAATTGTTATCGTACGAAAATCCCACCACAGCAACTGTTAATACAGGATGAAATTGTTTATCCTGTATAGATTCTGAGATTTATTTGGAAATAACTTTAAAA